TTTGTTTCCCTAGCGACACAAGAATATTGTAAAATGCCCAGTTTTGTGGCCCAATTAAATTTTCAGAAATAACAGCATGTGCACAGAGCATACATGTACATGTGAGCTTGAACTTTAATCCAACCCGACATTTTTTATCTCCAAAAGAAAAATTTCTTACTGTAAGTGCAGTTGACAGGAATTTTCTTCACGGTGTACCCCCGCTGTCCTTCTTTGATCTTGGGTAAACAGTGCCGTAAAGGGGTCACCTTTGTGATTTGTTGCCTGCTCCCTGCCAGAATTCCGTCTTCATCCAAGCTTCTCCAAGGACTTTCTCAACTTCCTCACCTGATTTGGTACCATACAAACATGAAAGAGTACAAATTTCTTATACTTGCACGGTGGTATTACCATAAAAGAAGAGGATTTAAAATCTATTACCCAAGAAGCAAGACTGGATGGCACAGTATGGCATTCCAAATTCAAATGTTAATGACCCCATATACAATTTTCCGTATAACTAAATAAGCAATTTATTCATTTACATTGGATACTGCTTTTTTGTTGATTCAGTTACCTGCCTTGAGCCATTTTCGGTCTCAAAGCTGTTTGTGTACACAAGATGGAAATAACGGGTTCTCGTGCTCATGAATGTTGAGAATATGGTTCATGATGCTCTCAAACTTGGCCAGCATGAGATCAGGATCCCCATCTGGTGTCGAGGCGGCAACCCAGTAAAGATTATCAATGAATCCGTGCACCCAGCCGTTGACTTCGTCACACCCAGACTTCTTCCCTACCTTAAGCATTTTCTTCTTCAGTCCTGACAAAACAAATGCCACATAAATTGAAAGTCGATTTTGGGGGGCAAGTATCAAAATTAAATGATACCTTCCACATTAATTCAGTGGCCATAGCTGGCCAGCTGTGTTGTTCAGATAAATAGACAAATCAAAAACCATAGACTGGTGAATTAAACATGGAAGAATTTACATGTTATCAAAACAATTTTATAATGTCGAGAAAAACATTTATTTTGGTGAATGTATTGGACAATTTCATGGACAGTGGCAGTAATTTTGTATGGGTGTATAAAGCTTGCCATTTGCTAGTCAATTAATTAATGAAGCAACATAGGTTTGCGAAAGGGTAGTACACTGACTTATTACAACAATTAAAACATACCCTTTGCGACATGCCAGACGTCAAAAAGTGTTTAACCCCTTGGGTTGCCAAGTTTTCTGCGATGTATTTTGCAATTTGACGATGATGGTCAGTAACAATGGTGCCAAGATTCACTTCATTGTCCTTCATCCAGGCCATTGTGTGGACCAAACCCTCTTTCTCCATGTTGTTTGACCTGTTTTGGACTTCATTTTTCTAAAAATTAAACAACAGTATTCAGTGTAAGATAAAATAGCCATACTGACACATCCCAAAACTGAAGGAAGTAACATCCCAAGCACGTTTTAACCACTTCATGCCGGGGCATTTTTCAATGTTGATGATGCTGGGCCGGCATGACTATAATTTTTTCGTTTTCAAAATCCTTCAAAAATTCATCATTTCATTTAACGGTCATTTATAGCCGCACCAAGTAATCTTTAAGCACTACTGTGAGTTGACAGGTGACCTTCATTGACGCCCGATTATTTTAGCCAGGCCAGCAGCCTTGTAAACAGAGCCCAGACTGTGCAGTGTTAACTGTCTTTTATTTAAGAACCTGGCTTAGTGCACTGCTGACCTCTTTTCAATAGGAGCCAGATTAGCGTGCAGCGGTGCTGTGTGGCTCATCGCTGCGGTGGTGGAGCGCTTTTGTCCCCGGTGGTAATCCACTCGCTCTCAATGCCCCAAACCCTGGTATACGGTTTCAAAACAAGGCTGGATTATCTTCACTTTTGAGAGTGAAAAATGTCTGTAATGCCCAGCAGCCTGGTCTTTTGATCGGAGTACGGTCTTTTGTTACAGGGCCCTGTTTCCTTTGTCCGAGTTCGGAGACCCCGGCCACCCATATAAACCATACGTCTCCGATCCCGGAGTCCCTGGCAGGAAGTGGTTAAAAATGCACAGCAGCTCAATTTGTCTAGTTAGAAGAGAGAAAAAAAATTGCCATAGTTTGGTCTCCTATTTCAGTTAATGAATTGGCCAAAGTGTCATGTGAGCAAAACTCAAGTCATATTAAGGAAATTGCTTCAATTGACTTCACCCTAAAAACAAAGCTGAAACTTACCCGAAAAGTTCAATATGCAAAACCTTGTTCTGATTCCTCTCAAGCATACTGTAGCACCCGTATTTCGCTGAGTGTCGGCAAGCATGTCCATTGCTAGGAAGGCCTCTGTCTCCGGGTTGTGGACAGTTGAAATTACATCTTGTTGGGTCTGCATCCAAGTGTGAGTGATAGCAGGATGAAGGTACCTACGTGTGATTTGATAAAAAAAAAAAAAAAAAAGAAAAGACAGGTAATACTCATTCAGGTTTGCAATTTCATTTTGTAAGAGCTAAAAAGTGAAATCTCAAAAAGCTAAGGAACTATTTTTGAGGCGTATGAACACGTACCACTTGTGATGATTGAAAAATGTGGCATAAGAGTAGGTAGCCACATTCATTGATGTAAACGCATCAAGGAACTTCTTCAGGGAGGCTCCTGATGTTAGAATGGCAGTAGATAGCAAGCGACTTCCTGCAGATATGTTGCCAATCATTGGTTGGGTCCTCCAAACTCGGATATGGCCACATCCCCGTCTTCTGCACACCTGCTCCACTTCCATGAGGGTTCCACCGTTAGGCCTGCAAATGTGTGCCTTGGTTGCAGACAGGCATTTGGTGCAGACATCACAGAGTTGCAGCAGGTTGTGGTGGAACACAATGTACTTTGGTTGATCAACCAAATCATGCTTGACATCCTCATTATCACTATTGTAAAATACAGGGAGAGGAAATTTTCAGTGCTTCCCCATCTATTCAACACAATCTCCAATGACGTATCAGTCACAATACAAACTTCATGCTGGCTAAAAGCATGACAAAGCGCTTTGACAAAAAAACTGTTTCCAACAAATCCAATCACTCTTCTTGTCAATAAAGATGACAAAACAGCTATTACCTTGAATGATATTAGTCAGAGCTGTCGAAACCTCATCGAACATATTCACTCCCACTCTCCTCCACTTCAAGAAGAGGATCAAGAGGCTTTTTAGCTGAACTGAACTTGGCTGGAGTGACTTGTCTGGCAATGCTGACTTGTTCCTCCTCATCTTGTACAAGGTGGACAGATTGGGGGTTCTGTATTTCTTCATTCACTGGTTGGGACCCCTGAAGTGTCAAACTGCATGCAGTACAAGTATATGTACAACAAGATTTCTTGGCTGGAGGATCAAACTAGACGCCTGCACAAATGAAAATATAATGCAAACATGAAATATCACAGAAAATGGCCATCCTGCAAGGTAAAAAGTTCTTTAAAAAGATATCAATCCAGTTAGTTGCTTTGATTTAAAACCTGAACAAAATGAACAAAACCTGAAAAAAATAAACAAACTACAGAAATACTTCCAGACAAAATCCAAGTTACCTTTATTAGCTGGATGAAAATACTTTCTGTCTGCATTTTCCTCGACAGGTAAAAATGGTTAGAGGGCTGGCCAGGATGCATATTGATCTTATGGACATTCTTCGTGATATTACAACACCAACGAGCCAATGTTTGGGTACCCTGGTCTACTGTCTAAGTAACAAGAATTAACAGTAGCATTAATTATTTATGCTATGTTTGTTTGGATAATACAAGTAGCACATGTATTCCCCAATTCATAACTTACCAAAACCAAGGGAACACCTCTCAAATTATTCCAGATCAATGATCTTTGACCATTATACACATACACATGTACTGTAGCAAGGAAACAGACCACCAGCAAAGAGCTGGTCATGAGAATCCCATTACACGTTCACATGTAAGTCTCGATCCTGCCACGCATGACATGTAAGCACCAACATCCACATGTACATGCGCTCTCACCAACATCGCGACAGACAGCGATACATCTGGTGGCAGACTCATACAAGTAACGCATTATTGGTGTCCGACACCTGACTGCTTTGGTCTGGTTGCCCAATGCAGATAGGATGTTACATAGTTTCTCAAGATGGACACACAGTCATGACAGTTTTACTTACAGACATCGCTAAAACAGGAGACGTTTTACTACCCCAATCATCATGCTACAATTGTGAAACAATGAGGCTTTTGCCACATAAAAACGAATTTAATGAAAGGATAATGAATATCGTTAGGCCAATAGACATACCCTTCTTTTCTCCCTCTTCTTGTAGGCCCTCCTCAAACATATGACTGGACGAGATGGAATACAATTATTACCACAGGTAGTAGGTGATTGCAGGCTTGGAAGTGCTCCCTCTTTGAGTATGAACCTTGACTTGAGGCCGAGTTGCTCTTTAAGCCGTGATGACTGTTCTTGACAGTCGTCATCGAAGTGCTTACTGCATATTGTCGGGTACTTGGTCATGTCAGCCAACTTAAAGTCAGCATGCGTGGTGCAGACGAATCGCACCCACTCCCATCGAAGTTGGTTATTTTGGGGGAATTTGAAGAAACTTACATCCCTGTTCTTGGCCGAGGTTACACAATTTTTTTGCATTGTAGGATGTAAAGAGCATAAAAGCGAAAACTATATCGCACGCAAATGTACTCATACATGGGAATGACGTAGGGTTGAACTACGCGCTGCTGCTGTGTTCGATGTTGAGTACCACTTCATACGTAATCACAATGTACAGACGTGTAGTGTATAAAACTATAAATTCAATTGGGTGGCACACTAGAGCATGCCCGGGCTTTATTCCGCCTTATTTCACCTTGTCTCTTATGAAACAACCTTTTGTGGGGAAAGAAACATAACATGCCAAGGCCAAAACGTCTTGTAAAGAGAAAGCATGAATAGATACATGTACGTTTGGCTATAGCAAACAATATAAAACATATCACGATCAATGATTATTACCTTGATCAGATGAAGGCAAACACTCAGCAAACCTTCAGCCTGACAAGCATCCATGAATTTGTAGCTTGGTTGCAGAATGGCATGATGAGATAAGAAGTAGTAGCCATCTGATGACAATTTCCATGCTCCAAAGTTCTCATCTTGTTCAAGTTTTGAGACAGTTTCTCCCAGTGACTCAACAGCAACCTGTATTCACGAGTAGAAAAAAATTAATGGGGTTTCCCATACTATGAAAACTAAAACAACATTTTTTTTTAAACTATCACAGTTCCGAACTTTTTTCAAAATGAAATAAGAACTAGTATTAAAATCTAAATTACATGAATAAATGTTTAGTACCTAACTTTAACCAAGGCTTACGAATAAAATGCAGAACATCTTTCAAACTAGAATGATGAAGCCGCCATGGCTCACTGTTTCATATGAATCTTAATTTCTTTACCTCAAAAGCAGCTCATATTAACAGTTATCCATTCCAATTACAAATTGCATTGAAAACAAACAAGGAAAAATGTTATCAAAGTGCAATCTTGCCACAATGTTTAGAAACAGCAAGTAAAGAAGAATTGGATGATGACTACATTGCGGATGTAAAATCTGTATCTCTTACTCCACCCCCTACTGATACAATCATCCAATCCATGTCCATCCACATCTCATTCCATCCATCTCCAACTCCACCCAATCCTGTCATCAAATCCATCTCCAACTCCACCTCCCCCTTATCCCATCCCTCTCTGACTCTGCTTCCACTCCATCATCCCATCCATATCCAACTCCGCCTCTACCCCATCATCCCATCCATCTGCTGCTCCAACCCCATTCAATCATCCTATTTACTCTTTCCCCTTACCAAATCATCCACACCTGTCTCCCTTTACGTGTGGCAAACATTGTAATTAACATGTGTTCATACAGTACAGGAATGTACCGAGCCCCTAAAGGGTCTTCCGATGAAAACAAACTCTGTAACAGAATAAAATTTCACAAATTTATTCGTGTGCACGAAAACATTTCGTTCGCACGAAATCATTTCGTACGCACGAAATAAATTATTTCATGTGTACGAAATCATTTCGTTTGCACGAAATCATTGCATTTGCATGAAATCATTTATTTCGAGTGCTCAAAATAATTATTTCGTGCAAACTAAATCATTTCGTTTGTACAAAATCTTTTATTTCATGCACTCGAAATCATTTCGTTTGCATGCAATCATTTCGTTCGCACGAAATCATTTCGTGTACTCGAAATAATTTATTTCGTTTGCTCGAAATCATTTCCTTCACACCCAATCATTTCGTGTACTCGAAATAATTTATTTCGTTCGCACGAAATCATTTCGTTCGCACGCAATAAATCCACCCACGTGTGCAAGCAATTGAAGTGAGGCAGAACACATCTGTATATAAGGTAAGACTCCTTTTTAACGTCTGGTTTTACGCATAATGATCTCATTAGGTTTTAAGTGGAAGTTAGAGCCCCTACGTACCACACAGAGGAACTCTTTGGGCAGAATAGAGCTGCGCCGCGCAAGAAGACCCTGAAGGATACCCCGAATAAAAATATGTCATGTAGCCAAATAACGAAGCGGGTTGTCCAAACATCAGAATCCCAAAGCCGAACACCCTGCCTGTTTTTCTCTGAGCATGATGGGTGTGGATGATCAACGATATAAGCCATTCTTTCTTACATTTGAAGATCACACTGGGAGTGGTAGACTAATATTAATTATGACATTGTTAGCTGCTCTAATTTCAAAGTAGTTGTAAAGTAGTACATAGAGGGTTTCCCAACATATTTCTTTAATTCTACTGAAATTATTTTTCAACAACTCGTGACGTTCTATGAAAACACAACTGAGATCATCTTCCAAGACAGATATCTGCACAGGAATTAAATGTCACGGATGTCAGGAAGTGTACTTCTATATAAGGCCTACTACAGGTATTGCATAAACATGACCAAATAATCGACTGTATTCTCAAATGAAAGTCACACGGGCCTGACTTGACAAAAAGGCCAATTTGAATTAAACTGGTGTTGAAAACGAATAAAATTGAAAAACGGAGAGAAAAACGTCTTTAGCAACGATGCTTTTGACTGATTAACTCCGTCATAAAAAGACGTCAACCTTTGGTGTGACCTTTTCACCTTTGTAGAACACCGCCTTCCTGGCTATCGCATACTCTACGTGTTTTGTCTACACACGTGTTACTGTAGTAGAGAATCAACTGCTCATGTCACCACAACCCAAATCATATAGCTGT